GTGACGATGGCGGATCTTCAGCGTGAAGTGTCGAGGGCGGTTCGGGAGGAGAGGGCGGCGCAGAGTCAGAGCAGTTCGCTGCGCGCCGCGCCCGTCCACGAGGCTCCCCGTCCGGCTGCGCTCCCCCCTGTTGCTGCGCCTCCCCCTCCGATTCAGTCGTCGCCTGCGCTTGCTCCCGCCGCGTCGGCGCCCGTTCCTGGTTCTCGTCTGCAACTGCCGCCGCTTCCACCCGTTGCTGGCGTGGAGTTTGTGGCCGCGGGCGGAGGCTCGCTATCGGCTCCGTTTGCTCTCCTCGCCGGCGCTGATGAGCCGCTTCAGTTCCTGGCGGAGGCACTGCAGCCTCCGCAGACCCGTGTTCCCGAGGCGACTCTTGGACAGCTGCACCGCCTCGCTGACAGCCTCCATGCTCTGCTGCTGATTCAGGTGCTGGCTCATTCGTCGCTTCCGGTGATTCCTCCTGAGACCTTCCTTTCTCGCCAGCGTGACCCTTGCTTGGACGCGGCAGACCAGCTCGCAGTGCTGCTGGCGCCCGTGCTGGCTGCGCCCGCGGAGGGAGGCGCTGCTGCTGCGGGACAGCTCGACGAAGCTGTCCGGGGCCTGAGGCGGCACTTGCGCGCTGGATCTGGAGCCGCGGCGATCGGCGCAAGCACGCTTGTGGTCCGGGAGCTGTGGCGCTCCCTGACGGGCGTTCTTCACACCCTTGGAGCTCACCGCATGTAGATGCGGGCTCCGCTTCTACTTGTGTCGCCATTGCTGCTTAGGATGTTGTTGATGCCGCCATTGTTTGTATGCCGTTTGCTTAACCTCGGTTGTGTTCGTGTTCCTTGCCGTCCCCTCACGCGCGGCCGAAGGCCGCGCTGTCGAGCGTCGGCCGCCTTCGGCGGCCGACGCGAGCCGCTGGGTTAGAAGGAATGAACCCACGAAATGAATAACGAGACAAGCACCAGGCCCACGGCCTTATATAGCGGAGCTAGGGGCGGCTGAGAGGCTGAGAGGCTAAGGGACTAGGGGTCTATGCCTCTCTCTCTCTCTCTCTCTCTCTCTCTCTCTCTCTCTCTCTCTCTCTCTCTCTCTCTCTCTCTCGCTCTCTCGCCGCTGGGTTAGAAGGAATGAACCCACGAAATGAATAATGAGACAAGCACCAGACCCACGGCCTTATATAGCGGAGCTAGGGGCGGCTGAGAGGCTGAGAGGCTAAGGGACTAGGGGTCTATGCCTCTCTCTCTCTCTCTCTCTCTCTCTCTCTCTCTCTCTCTATCTCTCTCTCTCTCTCTCTCTCTCTCTCTCTCTCTCTCTCTCTCTCTCTCTCTCTCTCTCTCTCTCTCTCTCTCTCTCTCTCAAGCAGTCATGTATTTATATGGGTCACAAGGTACAGGCATGGCAGGTGGTGGTAACTAGCTTGCCTAGATATTGGAGCAGCCAGGGAACCAGAACTAAACAAGCAAACAGAGCAAGCCCATCCATCTTAAAGCACCCCTAACTCTCAGAGCAGCCCGATCCCCAGTAGCTCAGGACCATGAGAACCCCCCTTCTTTCACCTGTCCCCTGTCCCTCCCATACCACACAACCTCCCCTTATCCTCCTCCGACCCGCCGCTTCTTCGCACCTTCCCTGAGACGCCCTTCCTTATCCCTGTTCCCTCTGACCCACACCGACTCAGCACACCCCCCCTTGCTTCTCACCGCGCCCATGTATCCCTCCCCTGCCGCCACCCATCCTCCTCCTGTCACCATGTTCCTATCTCCCCGGCCCCCTCAACCCCTCAGGCCGCCCTGTCAGGGGTGTGTCTCTATTTGTACTCGTCCTCCAAGGTCTGCCATAGGTCACCTAGCCGAGGTGCCCAAGGGTCCGCCGCTGTCTGTGGGAAAGCCGCTTCCGCTGCCTGGTTTGACTTGGAGAGGAGGGAGATCGCTTCGCTGCGCTGGAGCACCACGGACCACCGTTGCCTGAAGTGTGCATTGAGGCGGGCGGCAGTTGTCGTGAGGCGTCCCTTCCTGTACTTTGTCTTGGCGGCATAGTTGGCTAGCATACGGATGAACTGCTGCGTGTCCTTAGCCAGAGGCCCGTAAGTCTCTACCGCTAGCCCAAAGAAGCCGGCATAGCTAGGGCGGCCCTCGTAGAGCCCGTAGGGAGGCTTCCTCTGCTGCCCACCCTGGCGGCTTCCTAGCTCTCTTATCCCGCTTCTGTAGTACGGGATCTGTGACCGTGACATCAGTTACCCACGTTTCCCCCGACTCCTGGTCCCGAATGGCTAGGTCTGCTCGCTTCCGGAGGACCGGGGGAGAGAACGCCGTGGTCTCATGGAACGTCCTGTAACCCGCATCCTTGGCCATTCTGAGAGCTGCAAAGACCAGGGCGTTGTGGGTCCTCACAACGTCACCGCCATCCCCACACCGTAGGAGGTGGTTGGGGAGGCTCTTGTTGGAGATGGTCGAGTTTTCCCGCTTGCAAGGGCACACCTCGACGGCCGGCAGCTCCTTGCCCAAACGCAGGCCCAGGGCCATCGAGAATTGACCAGGGGATAAGCTAAGGTCTCCTCTCGTTGGCATGGCATGGAGCCAGTCACCCGCGCCCACCCCCTTTAGGCTAATGAGGCGGATGGCATGACCCCTGTCCTCCCCCGGCCGGTCCTGCAGGGTGTCCGCTAGGAGTTCCAAGGCCCGCCGCTGGTTAATAGACTTCGACAGCCCCAGCTGCAGGTTCCCTGAGCCTGGACTCCCCGCCCTATACTGCTCCACTGTTGCTCGGGCTTTAGCAGTGAGGGCACCCTCCATAGTGGCTCTGGGGTTGAACTCTGGTGGCGGTGGGACCCAATCGTGGGAGAGGAGCTGAGTCGCTCGGCTCAGGAGGCACTCAGTTGGCAGGTCCAGCTGCCTCAGTAGGATGTGTGCTACCGCGACTGAAGCCAGGTAGGTAGCGGGTGCTTCAGAGATAGGGTCAATCACTCCGAGGCCACCCAGGCGGATAGGGAGTGTTCCCTGACGCCATAGCTGGCTCTGTTCAAGCTCGGAGGAGGGGATCCGAAGTTTCGCCGCAGTGAGTGCCGAGCCCAGGAGAGCCTCGCTCCACTCCCTCCACTCTCGCATGCTTAGTGTTGATGCCGGGGTCGTCCTAAGCATATATGAGATCCGCCGAGAGATGCTGCGCGAGACCATGAGAAGCGCGTACTGCGGGTTTAGTTGCGAGATGAGGAGGAGTGGCGACGCCGCTTCTCCCAGTGCCGCCCGTACGTGGTCAGTGGAGAAGCCATCGTTCCCCACTGAACTGCCCAGCACTTTGATTCCCCCCTGGTTCATGGTCAGCCCGAGTGGCAGCTCCTCCTGCTGCCCGCTCGCGTTCCGTCCCCATGTTGATGATTTGTCTATGTTGCAACGTAGTCCCACCGCTCTCAGAGCCGAGGCGATCGTGTTGAAGGCGGTGCAGGCAGCCTCTCGTGAGCCGGCGATCGTGATGTCGTCCGCGTAGGCGACGATCGCCACCTCCGGCAGTGTAGTGGCCACGCTCAGCAGGGCTGGCTGGATCGCAGCTGCGAACAAAAGCGGGCCGAGCGGATCTCCCTGGCGAACTCCGCGGGTGCTCAAGATGTGGTCTGTGCTGAAGCGTTGGTCAACTAGTAGCCGCGACGGGCCATCGTAGAGGTTTCGGACCAGGGGGAGGAGGGGACTAAGGTTGGACCAATGCAGGGCCTCAAAAAATGCTCTGCGTTCAACGCTGTTGAACGCATTCTCTACGTCCAGCTGCAGCGCAATCCGTGCTTCGTCCTCCTGAAATAGTGCTCTGACTGAGTGGATGATACACTCCGCTCCCCCCGGGATAGCCACTCCGAACTGGACCGGAAGAAAGAACTCTCGGATCTTAGGACCAAGTGAGTGAAGAGCCGCTTTCGCTACTACACGGAGTAATGTTTCGCCAATCGCGATAGGCCTGACCCCACCCCCTGGTTTCTCTAAGGCTATCAGGCGTGAGGTCAGGGTGAGGTCGCGCAGAGCCTGAGACTGGAATGTGCTAAGGAGTGTGTTGACTATCCTAGCGAGTAGGATTAAGATCTCCTCGTTGGCTAGAGCTGGATCTCTCAGGTGCTCAAAACATGTTCCAGAGGGCCCCCCACCCACTTCATTCGGGCATTTTGCCAGGATTTCGCGGAGGGCATCAACCGGGACGGCGATTTCAGAAGTTGCTATTCCCGTTATCCAGGCCGGGATATCGTCTTTGGCAAGTGGGTGTTTCGCCTGAAGTGCAACGAGAGTTGACAAACTAGGCTCAGCGAGTGGGCTGGTGCGTAACGCAGCAACCGCCTTCGAGATATTCCCCTTCTTCATTAACCCTTCGGCGCGTGCACAAACCCCTTCGTCGTCAGGTTGGTGTCGTAGCAGGGCGTCGGTATCAGGGATGGTGCCGGCTTCCTCGAAAAGGTCATCCCATTTCCCTTGCTGAAATTGATGTAGCCGAGCCTCAATTCGAGCCCAGCGACTCCCAACCACAGGTTCGGGAGAGGGTTGGAGTGTAAGCCTCGGTAGGAACAGCAGAATCTTTCGCGCACCAAGGCACGTAGGGGATTTTTTTAGCCTCAGGAGTGGTGCCAGCAGACAGAGGCAGTATTTGTCCAGAATTTGTGGGGGCAGGCGGCGGACGAGGAAAGGCTGGTCCCCACGTTGCAGCTGCTTCACATCCCAACCCTCAGTTCCCTGCCAGAGGGCCTCTTCCTTCGCCATGTCAGAAGGCGAGAAGACATCTGTCACCTCAGTTTCTCCTGCTGTATCTCCCACCGCCCGTTGGTTCTGTGCACTCCCGCTCGGCCCTCTTCAACGTGTGTATGGAGCATTCCTGTCCACCCCAGTTTCCTCCTCCAGGGAGACCTCCTCAGATTCAGCTTCTTCACCACACATAAACTCTGGGTCGCCAGTGTTATCTTCAGAGCCCGATGTCTGTTCCTCATTCATTGGCACTTCCACTGCTTCTGGCCTATCGTGGCGTTCCCGCCAGGTGCCAGTACAAGGATCTCAGATCCCCCCACCAGTGCCCTTCTCCCTCGTCCTCCGCGCGCTCCCTGTGCACCGACCCCCCGCTGAGTCCGTCTCGTGCCTGTTGGCACTCTCGTCCCCTCGCCCATAGCTCCACGTCCCGCCGGCAACCACGGTGTCCGGCCTCCCCGAGGCGGTCCCCAGGTTATTGCCGCTCGTCGCGTCGCGTGGCGGGTGTTGTGCGCGATGGCGTTCGTTGTGTTGGGCGCCTCAGCGTATGCCACCATCGCTGGTGACGCATTGAGTGCAGGAGCACCACGGGTGTTTCCTAGCGGGCGGCTTCCAGCTTCGGCCTCCTCGCGCACCTCCCGCTGGCTCAACAATGACGACCGATGCGCTCGCTCTGATGGCGCTCCGATGCCAGCCCCGGAGGGGTCCCGGGGAGCCAGGTCCCAGCCCTGCTCCGGGTCGTCTCGGCACTGGCTGGGCCCATAGCCTTGTCTTCGACTTCGCACGTGCAGCGCCGGAAGAAACGCCGCTCGCGGGTCCCGCAAACTCTCCCTCCGCCTGGCCGTGCTCCTGCCTGCTTGCGGCCACGACAGCAACAGGCGTTTCGGCGCACGCAGCGGCAGACGACGCGCCTTCCACCATCGGGGCATGGCCCCGCTCCCCAATCGCAGCAGACACCGCCGCCACCAGCACAGTCGGCGTTACAGGTGCCGGTGACGCGGACAGCGCCACCTCCGCGATCAGCTCCAGATCCGCGCCCAGCCTCGTCTCCTCAACCTCCGTCTGTGCATCCCGCGGGATGGCAGAGGGCAAAACAGAGCCGCCGTCAAAGGCAGCGGCAGGACCGCCAGCAGACACCGGGATTGCCTCCGTCTCCGCCGCAGGCACATCAACATCAGCCACCAGAGGCCTCCCCGCAGCCCCCATCGAGGGTAGCACAGCAACTGCCAGTTCAAACTCCACTCCGTCGTTTTCCATTGCCCTTCTGTCCGCAGCAGCCTCTCCCCTCGGTATTCCATGCTCCTCCGTCTCCTCTCCTGCACGTACGAAACCCTCAGTCAGTACCTGGCCCGCCGTCGTTCCATCGGTACCCCTATGGCGGTCCCCCTGTGCAGCATTAGTGGGGACCGGTGACGCCTCCTGCCCCGCCTCCTCCCTCAGCGGTGGTTCTTGGTGAGCCTCCGTCTCTCGTCGAGCAACGCGTGATGCACGTGGGGACTTGCTTGACGCTCCTGTCGTACGTGCTCGACCAGCTTCACGTGACCCTAATGCAGCAGGAGGTGCAGATCGAGGCGATGCAGCCCGCGGAGCAGTCAGCGGCAGTGTCGGCCGCGGAGGAGTTGCAGCAGTACCTCCCCCTGATTGGCTTCGTGCCTGGCTCCCCCGGGGCTGCCCTCGGCCCTGGCCCTGGGCCTTTGGCACGGCTTGCCGAGTCTGCTCAGGAGGACCCGCTTGACCTTGTAGCCGCAGCCGCGTCCGTCCTGCGCTGGGTGGACGGGCGGCTTTGTTGGATCTTGGTTGAGTAGCAGATGCCTTCCCCTTGCCAGCCCCCCATGTGGCGGGCCTGGCTTTGGGCTTCCCCATGGCTGCGTATGCACGCCCGGGGGTGTTGCTGTTGTTGTAGGATGCTACCCCTGCATGTTGTACCACTTGTTGGTATAGTACTTGTCGTCCCTATTCCTTGCTGCGTATGCGCGAGCCGCCGTTTTTGGAGAGTGAACTGAACTCACCACGTGAGGAATGAGCTCACAGGGGTAGATTTAGGGACTTTATACTAGGAAAACTACTCTTAAAACGGCTAAGGACTAGATCCTAGAGAAGGCCTAAAAACGGCTAAGGCCATCTCTCTCTCTCTCTCTCTCTCTCTCTCTCTCTCTCTCTCTCTCTCTCTCTAATGGTCCGTATATTGATATGGCAAAAAGGTACAGACATATAGTTCCACGAGCATGTGAGATTCAGACTAATCCCTCTAGAGTTCCACCAGTGGCTCCAAAACAGCAAAGCAGTCCCCTAGGTGTAGCTCATGCCCAATACCCCCTACCGGAGGGTTCTCAGCTGCTGCAGCCTCACCCAGTTTCATAAGCAAGCCCACTGACTGCGCCCTCTGAAGGGCAACCGACCACCGCTGCCTGAACTGATGTAGAAACTTGGCGGCATGATAGGAGTTAGAGTCGGCGTTGAAGTGGCGCCGAGCCGCGGTGTCTGCCAGCAGTTTGAGGAAGACGGGGACCTCTGCACATGGGCAACCGTAGGTCTCCACTGCCAGTGGAAAGAAGCCGACTGTCTCAGGCCTGTTTGCATAGTGCTGGATTTTCTTATCTGCCTGTTCCCTAGCTGCCCATCCCCTCCCTTTCCGTGCCTGTGGGTCCCTGGTACTGATGGGGTCTGTCACGGTCACGTCGCACACCCAGACCGCCCCACTGCTCCTATCCGACATGGTGAAGTCGGCTGTTTGTTCCTCGACAGGGCAGTGGGCAGCCGACTCCCTGTGGACGATAAACCCCGCATCCTGTGCCATACTAATGCAGGCATCTCGGAGCTCGTTGTGGGTGTTGATGCGCTGCCTTCCAGTGCCGCAGCGTAGGAGGTGATTCGGGAGGCGGGGGTCTAGGATTTCGGTGTGATCAGAGCAATCACAGTTTTTTCGGGGTGGAGAAGGGCAGCCCGAGCCTGAATCTGACGGCATTTGCGAAGTGTACCGGGCCTAGGCGTCTGGTTGCTTCTATAGGGATGGCTGTCAGCCAGTCCCCTGTGCCATAGCCGGTTAGGGAGAACATCCGCTGCGTATGGCCTGCTAGCGGATTCAGTTCCATGTCCTTCGTTGCCTGTACTTGCACGGCGTAGCGGCTACCGTGAACCTGTAGGGCAAGGGCGTGCTGTAGTTTGACATCTGTCCGCTTAAGTCGTTCCCGTTCCAGTAGCTCTCGCGCATCCGAAGGCAGGGCGGACTCGCACTCTGTGAGCCAGGAGCGAAGCGGTGTGTTTTCATCCGTGGGCCGTAGCATATGGCAGCGCGCGTGGGAGAGGGCGGTGTCCGGATCTAGCGCGAGCGTAGAGAAAAGCAGAGCCGCCTGTGTGAAGCTTGCGACGAAACCGTACACTCCCTCAACGAGGGGGTCAGTAACACCTATTCCCCCTAGAGAGGGGGGCAAGGAGGCCTGCGCCCAGACGCGTGCCTGTTCCGCTCTACCCGCCGGCACATGAATGCTGCACGAGGTAAGGAGTGCCAGGAGGAGGTCACGACCCCACTCCGTCCAAGTGTCTCGTGAAACGAGGTTGAGAGGAGTTGTTCGAGTTAGATAGGACACGCGCCGAGAGATGCAGCGTGTGATCAGCAGCGAGGCCACCTGAGGATCTGCCCGCTCAATGAGGTGTAAGGGTTTCGCCAGGTCCTTCAGCTGGCCCGCTAAGAAAGAAGATGCGCCGTTGGCCGCCCCCAGAAAACTCCCAAGCAAGCGGATGCCGTCTGTGCAGAACGGCACCCCTGGAGGTAACCCAGCAGAGTCGCACGCAGTGGCGCTCCATGCCGTGCATTTCTGCGGGTTGTGCTTCAGGCCTAGTGATTCCAGTTTGGAGGTGAAGTGGTTGAACGCGGCTACAGTGGCACTTCGTGCACCCACGAATGTCACGTCGTCAGCATAGGCCAAGCAAAGCACCCCTGGGTGAGCTGCTGCAGTGTCACGAAGTGTAGGGTGTATTCCCGCCGCAAACAGGAGCGGGCCGAGTGGGTCGCCCTGGCGAACGCCACGTTCGCTGCGTAGGGGTCCGCTCGCGAAGGTCGAGTCCATGTAGAGTCGCGACGGGTTACCGTAGGTCAGTCGAACCAGTGGGAGTAGTGGCGATAGAGTTGGCTCCTGTAATGCCGCTGCGATGGATTGTCGCGAAATGCTGTTGAAAGCATTCGCAATGTCGGTCTGTAGTACCAGGCTGTTTGGGTGGCAGTCCACGTACGTTCGGGCGGCGTGAATTATCGCTTCCGCTCCACCAGGCACCGCCACTCCGAAATGTAGGGGTAGGAAGAAGTCACGTGCAGCCTCCCCCATGACCAACAGCGCAGCTTTGGCAGCCAGCCGAGTCAGGCATTCTCCGATAGCGATTGGTCGGACCCCCCCCCCAGGTTTGGCCAGGGCGATGAGTCTGGACGCAGTAAGCAGGTCCGCAACCGAAGCTGGGAGGTTGCCCCCCAGAATTGTATTCACGAGGGCGTGCAGATGGGTGCTGACGGATGCATTGGTTATTGCCGCGTCGCGCAGGTGCTCAAATGTTGTGCCAGACGGTCCGGCACCAACACCATTCTCGCATCTCCCAAGGAGCTTCGCAAATTCTGCGTGGGAAATGCACAGGGGCTTAGCATCGGCTGACTGCCAGGTCAGCTGGTCGTCTCCCGCCGGTGGATGCTTTTGTCGCAGCTCGTCTAGAATTTCTGGGCTCGGTGTACAGACGGGTGTTGACTCGAGCGTCAACACGGCTCGACGCAGACTGCCACGTTTCGCCAACCCCTCGGCTCTGCTCAGGACACCTGTCACATCGGGTTGGTGACGTAGGGGCGGAGGGGCGTTGACCGCGTTTATCGCCTCCTGGTAGAGCTGTGACCACTCGCCTCGCTGGAATGCCCGAAGACGGGCCTTGATTTGTGGCCAATTTGGGTGCTTTGGCGAAGCCTGGCGAAGGGTCAGACGCGGGAGGAAGAGAAGCAGCGTCCAACCCGCTTCGGAGTCAGGGTTTCGCGAAAGGTGAAGTAGCGGGGTCAGGAGTGTCAGCGAGAATAACTGGCACAGGTTAGGCGGTAATCGTCTTGACAGCAGCGGTTGGCGACTATCGCAGAGGGCGGAGATGTCCCAGTTCGCTATGTCGGCGAATTTATCCCCCATCTCCGCTAGCTCCACTGGCGAAAAATAGCGCGGGCGCTGCGGGGCCAATCCTGACACTGGGTGGAGGGAAGCGTTTCGATGTCTGCGTGCGCGACTCGGTGGCGTTGACTGCTGCCGAGTTGGATTCTCATCCGTCCGATCGGCATCCAATGGCCCTGCACGCCTTTCTGTTCCCACTGTGGGTAAATTGGCTGTCTCAGGTCTTCTCCTCCCTGTCCCTACTCTCGTTGCCTCCGCTCCGTCTCTTTCTTCCTCGTTTTCGCTGTCTGGCTCCACTCCCGTAGTATAAGAGGGGTCATTTCTGTCCCCTTCTGTATTAGCCGCTACCAAAGCAATTAAAGCCCGACGTCCCGCAGCCTGAAACCCATTCTCAGGCCCTCCGCCAGTTCCGCTAACCGTCTGCCTCCTTTCTTCCCGTGCTGCACTACCTCGTGATGGTGATTGCTGGAGCTCCCGAGCCGTCGCCAGAGCGCGCTGCCGCCTGGTCGGCAGTGGTCGCCAAGCCTCAGTCTGAGGCCGGAAAGGCGACCACGGCGAAGAAGCCCCCGGTGGCTCCGGCTCCGAAGCCCTCGACAACATCCGCTGAAAAGCCTCCTCACCCCGAACCCGAGGCTCCCCTTGCCGCAGCTGCCGCTCAGTCTGTGGCTCTTGCTGCTGCTGGGAAATCCGCTCCGTCCACGCCAACTGCTTCCCAGGCTTCGCCCGATGGCCCGTCAGGGTCTGCCGCCGCGCTCCCGGCTCCTGCTCCCGTTGGGCCCCCCGCTTCGGGCCCCAAGCCGCAGACTTCTGTGCCTGCCTCGTCCCCGCAGCCGACGTCCGCCACCACTGGCGGCCCGACGCAATTGATTGTGTCCCCTGCATTGGACCCGTCTGCTCCCGTTGCGCCTCCCGTGGCTCAGCCGACGCAACCAACGTCGCAGTCACGTCCTCCCTCGCCGGACCGTCGCCTATCTCGCCCTCATTCTCCAGCGCCCCAACAGGATCGGGCGTCCTCCCGGCCTCTCTCTCTCTCTCTCTCTCTCTCTCTCTCTCTCTCTCTCTCTCTCTCTCTCTCTCTCTCTCTCTCTCTCTCTCTCTCTAATGGTCCTTGTATTGATATAGCAGCTAGGTACAGGCATGCAGTGTAAGGATGTAACAGACAAACAAACAAAGCACCAATCATACCCACTATTCCCCTAGAGCTCTAGAAGGGGCTCTACCACAGCAAAACAGTCCCCTAGGCGTAACTCTTGTCCAATACCGCCTACAGGCGGGTTCTCTGCTGCTGCTGCCTCGCCCAACTTGAGTAGAAGACCCACTGATTGGGCCCTTTGGAGGGCCACTGACCATCGTTGCCGAAACTGGTGCAGGAACTTGGCGGCATAAAAGGATTTGGAGTCGGCGTTAAAGTGGCGCCGAGCCGCCGTGTCTGCAAGGAGCTTCTGGAAGGCTGGTACTTCCGCGCATGGGCAACCATAGGTGTCAACTGCCAGTGGGAAGAAGCCAACCGTCTCTGGCCGGTTGGCGTAATGCTGGATTTTCTTATCGGCTTGTTCCCGTGCCGCCCATCCTCTGCCCTTCTGCGCCTCTGGGTCTCTCGTGCTGATGGGGTCCGTGATGGTGACATCACAGACATAAACCGCCCCACTGCTTCTATCCGTCATTGTAAAGTCGGCGGTTTGTTCCTCGATAGGGCAATGGGCGGCCGACTCGCCGTGAACAATGAAACCTGCG